ATTCCCCAAATGGCTGTAACAGCTGGAGCTGAGCTGATCAGAGGCCAGGAGCCAGGAACTACTTCTGGGCCTCCTGCATGGGTATAGGGGCCTAAGTACTTGGGCCATCTTCTATTGATATCTTAGGTGCATTAGCAGAGAGCTGGCTTAGAAGTGTAGCTTCTAGGACACTAACTGGTGCCAGAGTCTCAGGTAGCAGTTTTACCTGCCACAGTGCCAGCCCCTTTTTCTACATTTTGATCTCTGATCCATTTGGAGTTTATTTTGATGTGTATTGAGATATGGATTAAGTTTTGTCTTTTCTAGTGGCTGTCCAGTTGTCTCAATACTGTTTTGTTTTTTTCAATTGACACATAGTAGTTGTCCATAGTTATGGGCTGCAGTGTGACCCTTCAGTGTGTGTGTGTGTGTGTGTGTGTATGTGTGTATGTATGTAAAATCTGTAATGATTGTTATCAGGGTAATCTGTAATAGTATCACCTCAGATATTGATCATTTCTTTGTGTTTGGAGCATTCAGAATCAGCCATAGTTACCATATTATGCTGGAGAATGTTAGCAGTGACTTCTCTCAGCCAGTTGCACATCCTCTCCTGTTAACATCCTCTCCCTATCTTTTGTCCCTCACACCTTTCCCATGCTCTGATGGCCACTATTCTGTTCTCTACTTGTGTGAGATCAACCTTGTCACTTCCATATATAAGTGCAACATACAGTATTTGTCTTTTTGTGCCTGACTTATATCACGTAACCATAATGATCTCCAGGTCCATTTTAGGTTACTGCGAACAACAGAATTTCATTTTTTATGGCTGAATAATATTCCATTGTGTATATATATCACCCTCTATCCATTCTTGTATCAGTGGACACCCAGGTTTATTCTTTGTCTTGGCTATTGTGAGTAATGCTGCATATATTTCTTTGACATACTGAATTCATATCCTTTGGATACATGCCCAGTAGCAGTGCTACAGAATGGGTCATATGGCAGTTATAGTTTTAGGTTTTTGAGGAACTTCTTAATGTTTTCCAATAGCTGTACTAATTTCATTTCCACCAACAGTGCATCCTTTTTCCACATCATCTTCAACATGTTTTTTTCCTTTTTAGTTGATATGGCTTTGATTTGCCTTTCCCAGATGATTAGTCATGTTGAGCATCTTTTCTTTCTTTCTTTTTTTTTTTTTTTTTAAAGATTTTATTTGAGAGGTAGAGTTAGAGTGGGGGAGGGAGACAGAGAGAAAAGTCTTCCCTGGTTCACTCCCCAAATGGTCGCAATGGCTGGAGCTGGGCCAATCTGAAGCTAGGAGGTAGGGGCTTCTTTTGGGTCTCTCATGCGGGTGCAGGGGACTCCGTGTGTATGACCAGGCTGGTCAGAACCAAATGTGTAAATTTAGTTTCATGAAATCCATTGCAGAGTTCTTAGGGCCTTACACAACTATGGATTTTGCTTAAATTCCTTAAATTATTGGTTTTATTAACCACTTGGCTACATTTCTGATAATCTTATTTTGATCAGACATCTGACATTTACATTTAAAGGATTCTTTCTCTTTTTAAAAAATTTTATTTAAGGCATACAAATTTCATGCATTTCATATATGCAGATTTAGGAATATAGTGATTCTTCCCACTCTACCCTCCCTTCCACTGCTGCTTCCACCCTTCTTCCTCTCTTCTATTCCCACTTTTTAAAAAAAATCATTGAATTTTAATATTTTCTTTTTTAAAATTTTATTTAAGTTATATAAGTTTCATGTATTTCATGTATATGTATTTAAGAACATAGTGATGCTTCCCCCCTACCCTCCCTTCTGCCCACTCCCCATCCCTCTGTCCCCTCCTCCTCACATTCCCACTCTTCAGTTTTACAAAGGTCTGTTTGCAGTTTACTTAACGGTCGTATAGTTAACCCTACATTAAGTTAAAGAGTTCAACAAATAGTATGAAGAAAATAAAACACTGTTCTTCAATGGAAGAGTCAAGGGCTGTAAACAATCATTGAATCTCAATGTCCATTTCACTCCAGTGTTACATTTCATGTACTCTATTAGTTACCTCTGAAATGGGAAAACATATCTGTCTTTTTGGGGCTAGTTTATTTCACTAAGTATAATGGTTTTAATGGTTTCCAGTTGTGTCCATCTTGTTGCAAAAGATAGGATCCCCCCACCCCCTTTTTTTTGGTTAAACAGCTGAATAGTACTCCATAGTGTGTGTGTATAGCATAATTTCTTTATCTGTTCAACAGGTGATAGACATCTGGGTTGATTCTGGATCTTAGCTATTGTGAATTGTGCTGCAGTGAGCATGGGGGTACAGATCACTCTTCCATATGCTGATTTCTTCTGTTTTGGGTAAATTCCTAGGAGTGGGATGGCTGGATCATATGGTAGATCTATATTCAGATTTCTGAGGTATCTCCATATTATCTTCCACAGCAGTTGTACCAGTGTTTTTTGTTTGTGTTTTTTTTTGTTTGTTTGTTTGTTTTTGATTGCTTGATTTATTTGAGAGTTAGAATTACAGAGAGAGGGAGAGACAGAGAGAAAGGTCTCCTGTCCATAGGCTTACTTCCTAGATGGCTGTAACGGCGGGAGCTGAGCCAATTGGAAGCCAGGAGCCAGAAGCTTCCTCCCGGTCTTGCATGTGGGTGCAGGGGCCCAAGCACTTGGGCCATCTTCCGCTGCTTTTGCAGGCCATGGCAGAGAGCTGGATTGGAAGAGGGGCAGCTGAAACATGAACTGGAGCTTTGCTGCACCAATGTACGTTCCCACCAGCAGTGGAGTAGGTGCTCCTGTGGTACAATGGATAGTGCATTGGACTTCGAAAAGGATCCTTTCAAACCAGTGTTTGTGTTCCCTACCTCACCTCACATTTAAGTTGACTTCTTTTTTTTTTTTTTTTAAGATTTATTTTATTATTTATTTGAAAGAATTACACAGGGAAAGAGAAGAGGCAGAGAGAAAGAGAGATCTTCCATCTGATGGTTCACACCCCAGATGGCAGCAATGGCTGGAACTAAGCTGATCCGAAGCCAGGAGCCGGGAGCTTCTTCTGGGTCTCCATGTGGGTGTAGGGGCTCAAGCACTTGGGCCAACTTTCTGCTTTCCCAAGCCATAGCAGAGAGCTGGATCAGAAGTGGAGCAGCTGGGTCTCGAACCAGCGCCCCATATGTGATGTCGGTGCTTCAGGCCAAGGCATTAATCCGCTGCGCCATAGCGCTGGCCCCTAAATTGACTTCTTTAAACTGGTATTTTTTGTTTATCCCCGTGGGACTCTCTGAATCTAAATTCATATTTTCCTAAAGCTCTCATTCTCAAGAGTGATAGCTTAAAAAAATTTATTTTTTTTTGAGCCGGCGCCGTGGCTCAATAGGCTAATCCTCCACCTTGCGGCGCCGGCACACCGGGTTCTAGTCCCGGTTGGGGCGCCGGATTCTGTCCCGCTTGCCCCTCTTCCAGGCCAGCTCTCTGCTATGGCCAGGGAGTGCAGTGGAGGATGGCCCAGGTGCTTGGGCCCTGCACCCCATGGGAGACCAGGAAAAGCACCTGGCTCCTGGCTCCTGCCAGGATCAGCGCGGTGCGCCGGCTGCAGCGGCGGCCATTGGAGGGTGAACCAACGGCAAAGGAAGACCTTTCTCTCTCTGTCTCTCTCTCTCACTGTCCACTCTGCCTGTCAAAAAAAAAAAAAAAAAAAAAAAAAAAAAAAAATTTAAAAAAAAAATTTATTTTTTTTATTTGAAAAACAGAACAAGGGTTGGTTGGGGTGGTGTGTGTGGGGGTGGGTAAAGGTCACATGGGGCAGAGAGAGATACCTTCTATCTATTGGTTTACTCCCCACAAATGCTTGCAACAGCTGAGGCTGGGCTGGGCTGAAGGCAGTAGCCAGGAGAAACATCTGGGTCTCCTACGTGGGTGGCAAGGACCCAACATCTGCTGCCTTGCAGGGTGTACAGCAGAGGCGGGACTTGTATCCAGGCACTCTGATGAGGTATGCGAGCAACCTAGCTGACCTGCCCCAGGATTGGTAGTTTAGTGAGGCTAATTTTATTCCCTCTGTCTAGTGAAGTTCCATGGACTCCCATGGATAATCATCTTCTGAAATACAGGCTGACTACTCACTACTCTGACCTGGCAAAGTAGAAGGACTGATGTGGAAAGCCATCCAGGGTGTCTGGCTCACCTTAATCCTGGCCCTCCCTCCTGCAGAGATTAGATTGGCCTGCTCTCCCGCCTTCCAAAATTGGGTTACTCCGTTCTGAGCCTTCATGGGAACCAGTTGTAGCTGCTGCTTCCTCATAAGAGCTGGAAATCTTAAACTGATAGCTGGCAATCTTGGTGGCAAAGTTTATGGGTTTGTAATTTGAACAACCCACTTACTTGATCTCAAGAGAGCCCCAACTTCATATGAAGATATGTGTTTGACCAGTATCCCCAGATCTCTTGGTGTCTAACAACCTTAAATCTGGCTGTTCTTCCAGTTATTGCCCGTATGTTATTTGGAGGCCAGTTGGATCCTTTTAATGTTTGCTATTCAGAATTTTAGGTCTTCAGCCATCTCTGTTCATAGACCCATACATATGTTCATAGTCTTCCAAAATTAACCTTGTGCTTTTACCCTAAATAGCAATGAAAGAATGATGATCTAATTGTCCATGAGGTGCAGTTGGCTGTATTGTTTTCCTGAGCTTCTTGTCCATGTGTAATAATAATTAATAAACTGTTTTACTCTGAGGTAAAGTGTGTGTTCCATGGATTCTGAAGTAGCTAATAAGTACATTGTTTAGTCTAAACCGCCGACCTCCAAAGGAGTTTATCTGTATGTTAGGATGTCTGGTAAAAAGAAAATAAGCCCCCTGACAGTCCTAGATTAATAATGTATATTAATTGTAGTTTTTCAGTATTTTATTATGGAACACCATAAAGGTACCAAAAAGAGACTTTGGCTAAAGGCTGTAAATTCAAGATAAATTAGCTATTTTCTTTTTTTTAATAGGGTTACACATCATTTTGGAATGACTGCATATCATCTGGATTACGTGGCTGTATGTTAATTGAATTAGCATTGAGAGGAAGGTTGCAACTAGAGGCTTGTGGAATGAGACGTAAAAGTCTATTAACAAGAAAGGTAAGAGGAGTGCTAAGTGACAGACTTTTCAAAGACTTCTTACTGCTTAAAATGAAGAACATTTCTACTAATGGCTTTCAGGAATGAAGTTGGAGTTTGGTTTTAAAATTGTCTCATTGAATTGCATTTTCATATCCTTTTTTGCATTTTTGGTTTCCTGGTTCTTTGTATATACAGTGAGTAATGTAATTGATAACATGACTAGTCACTGCCTCTTACACATTCAGAAACATACCAACTTCTTTTGCTGCTTCTGAAAGTCACAATTTTGAAAGTTTGACATAACTAAAAAAAAACCTTATAAATGTTACTGTGCAAATTAACTACCCATAGGTTGTGAGGTTTTTTTTTTTTTTTTTAAAGATTTATTTGAAAGGTGGAGTAACAGAGATGGGGAGAGACAGAGATCTTCTCCATCCAGTGGTTCAATCCTGAAATAGATGCAGAGCCTGGAATTGGACCAGGTCAAAACCAGGGGCTTGGAATTCCATCTGGGTTTCCCATATGGATGGCAGGGGCCCAGGACTTGGACCATCTTCTGCTTTTCCAGGCACATTGGCAGTGAGCCGGATCAGAAGTAGAGCAGCCGGGATGCAAATTAGCGCAATGATACACGATGCTGGCATTACAAGTGGTGACTTAACCAGCTGTGCCACAATGTGAATGCTGGCCCTGGTTATTGATTTTCTTTTTTTAAATATTTATTTATTTATTTGAAAGAGTTAGAGAGTGAAATCGAGATCTTCCGTCTGCTGGTTTATCCCCTGCAATATGGCTGCAATAGCTGGGCCTGGGCCAGGCTGAAGCCAGGAGCTTCTTTTGATTTCCCACATGGGTGTGGGGTCCAAGGACTTGGGGCATCTTACGCTGTTTCCCCAAGGGCATTAGCGGGGAGCTGGATCGGAAGTAGAGCAGCCAGGATATGAACTGGTGCCCATATGGGATGCTGGTGTTGCGGGCAGCTGCTTAAACTCGATATGCCACATGCCAGCCCATACTGATTTTTTTTTTTTTTTTTAAGATTTATTTATTTGAGGCCGGCGCCGCAGCTCAACAGGCTAATCCTCCACCTAGCGGCACTGGCACACCGGGTTCTAGTCCCGGTCCGGGTGCTGGATTCTTTCCCGGTTGCCCCTCTTCCAGGCCATCTCTCTGCTGTGGCCCGGGAGTGCAGTGTGCAGTGGAGGATGGCCCAAGTCCTTGGGCCCTGCACCCCATGGGAGACCAGGATAAGTACCTGGCTCCTGCCATCGGATCAGCGCTGTGCGCCGGCCGCAGCGCGCCGGCCATTGGAGGGTGAACCAACGGCAAAAGGAAGACCTTTCTCTCTGTCTCTCTCTCTCACTGTCCACTCTGCCTGTCAAACAAAACAAAACAGATTTTTTTTGCACTTCAATATCAAATATTAAAGACTTTCTTCAAGTCTTTCATTGTGTTTGTTGAGTGTATTATTTTTCAGAATTATTTTTTTCCTTAAGAATCTAAAGGTTTTAGGTCAGAACTGACCTTTAAATATCTTTAAAAAATCTATTTGAGAAACAGAGGGAGAGAAAGAGACATGGACAGAAGGACGGATCTCCCATCCTCTGGTTCACTCTGCAGATGCCCATGAAGTCCACAACGAGGCCAGGGTGACTCTAAGAGCGGGGAACTCAGTTTGGGTATCCCTTGTGGCTGAGAGGGACCCAACTGCTTGCGCCATCACTTGCTGCATCCCAGCAGGAAGCTGGTGTCCAGGGCTGGAGGTTCTAAATAAATTCGTAGTACCATCAGTTTGAGACATTGTTTACTTTCTGTTGGAATACATGAATATTTGGCTGTCGTGTATTAGTACTTCCCCTTTTCCCCAGTCTTCCTAATTGAGTTCTGTCATACATTTTTGACAAAACTGTAATAATGATTGCTTATATTCTACAGCTATATTGTTCTCCACAGTTACATCCCATGATATTTTCCTGCCCTGCATATTCTTGTTTTCTGAAGTCGGTAATTCTTAGTTTCTCTCTTTTTTTTTTTTTCTCATTTCCTTTGTAGGTTCCATACTTTTTTTCATAAGTGCCCCATCAGGAAGAATTACCCTTATCAGATCCACCACACTGAATGGTAGTGCAGTTATCTCTGAGTCTGCTGTGCAGTCGGCATGGAGCTTCCTATTGCATTTTCATTGAGTTCAGTCCTGTTTCCTGGCTTTCATATTTTTTCCCCACCTTTTTGGAAAAAAGCTGTTTTGATACTCTGCATGCTTAAAAACCCATTTTATTGTACCTCACTTTTATTTGACAGCTTTTTGAGAATAGAATGTTAGCTATTTTCCTGCAGAGATTTGAAGACCTTTCTCTGTTGTCACCTGACGCACAGAGATGCTGTTTGACACCTTCTGAATTTTCTTTGTATGATGTTGGTTTTTTCCTTCTCTAGAAACATTTGGGAGCTTCTGTTACCCTGATGTTCTGAAATCAAATGATGTGCTCGATGTGGGTGATTTTTAATTCATTATGCATGGGTTCTTTCAAAATAGAGATGTGTATCTTGATTTTGGAAATTTTTTTCTGTTTCTGCTGTCTTCTGCCTTCTGTTTTTCTAGAACTTTTTAAATTAGATGTTGACTTCTGAGCTACTTTCATCTTCTAACTCTCCTGTTGACTTTTTTTTTTTTTTTTTTTTTTTTTAAACAGGCAGAGTTAGAGAGACAGACAGAAAGGTCTTCCTTTTTCTGTTGGTTCACCTCCCCAAAATGGCCGCGACGGCCGGCGCACTGCACCGATCCAAAGCCAGGAGCCAGGTGCTTCCTCCTGGTCTTCCATGTGGGTGCAGGGCCCAGGGACCTGGGCCATCCTCCACTGCCTTCCCAGGCCACAACAGAGAGCTGGACTGGAAGAGGAGCAGCCGGGACAGAATCTGGCATCCCGACCGGGACTAGAACCCAGGGTGCCGGTGCTGCAGGCAGAGGATTAGCCAAGTGAGCTGCGGCACTGACCTCCTGTTGACCTTTTATTATGGCTCTTATGTTTTTTGAATTCCATAAGCTCTTTATTGCAGTTAACTTGTTTAATGGATATAATACCTTCTTTTAGATCGTCGAGGATCTTAGGAGTGGTTTTTTTTTTTTCTTTTTTTTTTTTCCCCCGAAGATTTATTTATTGGAAAGACAAAGTGACATGCGCATGCCACACACACACACACACACACACTGTCCTCTGGTTCTCTCCCCAAATGGCCAGGGCTGAGAGAGGTGAGAGAGAGAGATCCATCCATCCTCTGGTTCACTCCCCAAATGGTCAGAGCTGAGCCAATGCTAAGACAGGAGCCAGGAGCTTCTTGAAGGCCTCACACATGGGAGAAGGGACCCAAGTACTTGGGCCATCCTCTGCTGCTTTCCCTGGCACATTAGCAGAGAGCTGGATTGGAAGTGGAGCAGTTGAAACTGGAACCGGCACCGATAAGGGATGCTGGTGCTGCGCTCTGGTGTGGTGGAATGAGAAGGCCATGCCAAGATGGCCACTGATAGCGGAACCTGCCTGGCAACAGGCTGTGATTGGATGGCTTCAGAAACCACATGGCAATGGAGCCTGCCTGGCAACAAGCTGTGATTGATTAGGGCATAGACCACCCCTTGACTGGATTGGCTGCCTTGGCTATATAAGCTGCTGTAACAACTGAAATAAATGAGTCTGCAGGTTGCTCTGCAGGCTGCTCACCTCTGGCCTGCTTTCACCTGACTCCTGACTCCCGGGGTCTGTGTGGTGACTCCGATCTTCTTGACCCCACCATGCTCCTCCTCTCAGAACGAATCCACAGCGATATTCTGGGGCTTTAACTCACTGAACCACAGTGCCAGCCCTGGACTTTTTTTTTTTTAGTTATTAATTTGAAAGGCAGAAAGACAGAGAAATCTTCCATCTGCTAGTTTACTCACCAAATGGCTCATCCAGGCCGAAGCCAGGAGCCAGGAACCCCATCTGGGTCTCCTATGTGTGTGAGGGATCCAGGTATTTGGTCCGTCTTCTGCTGCTTTCCCAGGCGCATTAGCAAGAAGCTGGGCCAGAAGCGGAAAAGTGAGCACAAGAACCAGTGATTCAATATTGGATGCAGCTTTGCAAGTGGCAGCTTAATCCTCTGCACCACACCAACAGCCTCTATTATGACTCTTGAAAATTTCCTTTGTGTTAACCTTGTTTTTTCAGAGTTTTTGTTTTCTTTCTTTTTTAGTCTCTTCTGTTTCAGAGGCTTTCTTTCAGATATTTTCACTGGATCCCCTGTACAATATTTATTTATTTAAAGATAGTTTATTTGAGAGGTAGAGTTACAGAGAGAGGGAGAGACAGAAAAGTCTTCTGTCCGCTGGTTCACTCCCCACATGGCAGCAACAACTGGAACTGGCCGACCTGGAACCAGGAGCCAGGAGCCTCTTTCGGGTCTCCCATGCTGGTCCAGGGGCCCAAGTACTTGGGCCATCCTCTGCCACTTTCCCAGGCCATAGCAGAGAGCTGGATTAGAAGAGAAGCAACCAGGACACGAACCAGGGCCCATGTGGGATACCAGCACCACAGTCATAGACTTAGCTCATTATGCCACAGCACTAGCCCTTATTTATTTCTAAAGATTTATTTATTTGAAAGGCAGAGTTAGAGAGGGAAAGACAGAGGTCTTCCATCTGCTGGTCCACATTACAGTCACAAGTGATTGTAATGGCTGGAGCTGGGCAGCTTTGAGCAAGGAGCTGCTTCTGGGTCTCCCATGTCAGGGGCCCATGTACTTGGGCCATCTTCCATTGCTTTTCCAGGCCATCAGCAGTGAGCTGGATCAGAAGTAAAGCAGCCACAACATGAAATGGCACCCTGATGGGATGCTGGTGCTGCAGGCAGAGGATTAACCCAATAAGGCCACAGTGCCAGCCCCTCCTGGACGGTATTTAAAAATGAGAGTTCTTTCCCCACCAAAATAAATAGAAAGTATAGGCAGGGTGTGTTCGTGTGCCACACTTATTACTGAATTTTTTATGAAGTCCAGAACTTATCCAGTGATTCATTGAATAGTTCTAAGCAGAAACAGTAGAATTTCATGAGATTTACCTCTTGGGTCAGAAAGGAGAATATTGAACAGAACTAAAACTAGTTGAGGGACACTAGTTAGGAGACTTAAAGTGAATGCCACCCAGATAAACTAGAATTATGACAGAGGTGAGAGGGAAGTGATACATCTGGGACTTCCTGTGACGGTGAACATGTTATTTATCTGGACTGTCCAGTGTCTGTGAGTTATACAGTTGAGTACTTAAGTGGTTAGTGTGTACTTAAGTGTCCCTAGAGTAAATTAAGACATTTTATAAATGAAAACACACAGGATGTTTGAAGGCTTTGTGTGGAAACAAAAGTTTATTTTGGATACCTCAAAGTTTTAAAGATTTATTGCATGTTAATATTTTGGCTATATTGGGTTAAGTCAAATATTAAATTCTGCCTGTTTCCTTTTAAAATGCAACTACTAGAAAATTTAAGAGTAGATGTGTGTCTTGCATTGTGGTTCTTTACTATATTTCTGTTAGGTTGTGCTGTCTGTGGAATACATACTTCATATATATTTTAACCTTTCATAAGATTGAGCAAAAAGTAGAAAACCCTTTATTGAGGACAAACATATGAGAGGAATGTCACTTTATTTTTAAAGATTTATTTTATTTATTTGAAAGAGTTACAGAGAGAGGTAGAGACAGAGAGAGGTCTTCCATTCCCTGGTTCACTCCCTAGATGGCCACAATGGCTGGAGCTGCGCCGATCTGAAACCAGGAGCCAGGAGCTTCTTCCGGGTCTCCCATGTGGGTGCAGGGGCCCAAGGACCTAGGCCATCTTCTACTGCTTTCCCACGCCACAAAAGAGAGCTGCATTGGAAGAGGAGCAGCCGGGACTAGAACCAGCACCCATATGGGATCCCAGTGCTTCAGGCCAGGGCTTTAACCTGCTGTACCACAGCGCCAGCCCCGGAATGTCATGTTTTTAAAGCACAACTGTTAAATTGCACTGCCTTTTTTTTTTTTTTTTTTTTTTTTTTTGACAGGCAGAGTGGACAGTGAGAGAGAGAGACAGAGAGAAAGGTCTTCCTTTGCCGTTGGTTCACCCTCCAATGGCCGCTGTGGCCGGTGCACCGCGCTGATCCGATGGCGGGAGCCAGGAGCCAGGTGCTTTTCCTGGTCTCCCATGGGGTGCAGGGCCCAAGCACTTGGGCCATCCTCCACTGCACTCCTTGGCCACAGCAGAGAGCTGGCCTGGAAGAGGGGCAACTGGGACAGAATCCGGCGCCCTGACCGGGACTAGAACCTGGTGTGCCGGCGCCGCAAGGCGGAGGATTAGCCTAGTGAGCCGCGGCGCCGGCATATTTCACTGCATTTTAATAGTTAACAAAGGTAATAGATTGAATTTTGATAAGTTGAAATTTGTTGCATAGCCAATAGTGTGAATGCAAGCCATAGGGATCCAGTACTTGGCTTGAGTACTTATGGCATGTTCTTCTCTAATTCCTACCTCTGGATTTTACTGCTGTTATGGTTTCTATATCCCAAATGGGTTTTATAAAAATTATATTAAAAAATTCTATATATTCAAAGCTGTTGTTATTTTCTTTAAGTTTTCTACTAGTGATGGCAGGTTTTTAAATTTATTCGAAAGGCAGAGCAATGGAGAAATTTTCTCTTTACTGGTTACTCCCTAAGTGGCCAAAACAGCCAGATCTGGGCCAGACTGAAGCCAGGAGTCAGGAACTCCATTCGGGTTCACCATGTGGGTACAGGGGCTCAAGCATTTGGACCATCTTCTGCTGCTTTCCTAGGCGCATTAGCAGGCAGCTGGATTGGAAGTGGAGCAGCTGGTACTTGAACTGGTGCTCTAATACAGGATGCTAGTGTTGTAGGCAGTGGCTTAGCTTGCTGCACCACATTGCTAGGCCCAGGGGTGGCAAGTTTTTTTTTTTTTTTTTTTTTTTTTTAAGATTCAATTTATTTATTTGAAAGGCAGAGTTAGAGAGATATGGAGAGATATCTTCCACCCACTGGTTCACTCCCCAAATGGCCGCAACTGCTAGGGCTGGGCCAGACTGAAGCCAGGATCCTGGAGCTTCTTCCAGGTCTCCCACTTGGTGCAGGGGCCCAAGAACTTGGGCCATTTTCCTCTGCTTTCCCAAGCACATTATCAGGGAGCTGAATCAGAAGTGGAGCATGGGGCCAGTGCAGTGGGGTAGCAGGTGAGGCCGCCGCCGCCTGTAGTGCCATGTGGGCGCCAGTTCAAGTCCCAGCTACTCCACTTCTGATCCAGCTCTCTGCTATGGCCTGGGTCCCTGCATCCAGGAAGACCAAGAGGAAGCTCCTCGCTCCTGGCTTTGAATTGGCCCAGCTCTGGCTATTGTGGCCAGTTGGGGAGTGAGACAGCGGATGGAAGACCTCTCTCTTCTCTCTGTGTAACTCTGACTTTCAAGAAATAAATAAATCTTTTAACCAAAAAAAAAAAGGAAGTGGAGCAGCTGGGACTCTAACCAGTGCCCATGTAGGGTGCTGGCATTGCGGGCGGTGGTTTTATTCACTGCGCCACAACTCCAGGCTCAATGGTAGCAGGTTTAAAAAGTGTTTCTTACTACTCAAATTATATTTTCTATTTAAGTTTCTATGTTTTATTTGTGATAGACGCTCAGGGGAGCCAAATCTTTTTTATTTTTTATTTATTTTTTTATTTTTTTTAAAGATTGATTGATTGTTTGGAAGGCGGAGATCTTGCATCCACTGGTTCACTCCTCAGATGGCCACAGTGGCTAGGTCTGGGCCAGGCAGAAGCTAGAAGCCTGGAACTCCATCCAGGACTGCAATTATCTGGGCTATCATCTTTTGCCTTCTCAGGTGTGTTAGCAGGGAACTGGTTTGGAAGTTGAGCAGCCAGGACTAGAACCAGTGCTCATATGGGATCTTGGTGTGACAGGTGGTGGCTTAATCTGCTGTGGCACAACACTGGTCCCCAAAAGTCTTAATTTTTGCTCTCAGTTTGTTAGCTAGTTGTTGTTAGGACATTTATTGAAAATTTTCTTTTTCTATTAATGTGAACTACTACCATTATGTACTGAATTCCAGATAGTTGAGTCTGTTTCTGGAACTATTACTGCATTAAAAATGGAGTTTTGGGTCATCTAGTCCCAGGCTCAGCAATGAATGGAATTATAGTGAGTGTAAACTGTGCTAGCATTTTGTTTTACTGATTGTTGCACAGTAGTTTTTTTATTCATGATAGTAGGCATTCTAATTGGTTGAAAACTGGATTTCCTTCACATAGAATTATTTAAAATGTGAGCTTTGATACTGTGTGAACACTTGACTTTAAGTATGATTTTTTTTTGCATAGTTTATAGTTTTTATTTTATGAGATTGAGTCAGAACAGGCATTGAGGCAAGTGTTGTGGCTTGGTGGGTTAAGGCACCGCTGGTGGTGCTGACGTTCTGTATGGGCACTGGTCTCAGCTGCTCCACTTCTGATCCAGCTCCCTGCTAATGCATATGAGAAAGCAGTGGCAGGTGGTTCAAGTGCTTGAGCCTCTGCACCCATGTGGGAGACCCAGACCTGCCTGTTGTGGCCATTTACAGAGTGAACTGGTGAATGGAAGATCTCCCTGTGTCTTCCCTGTAACTGCCTATTACTCTGCCTTTCCAATAAATAACTTTAAAAAAAGCAAAAGTGGGCAGGCATCAGTGGGTCTTTTCATTTTTCTTGCTTACATTGTAGGTGATCTGTAAGTCGGATGCTCCCACAGGGGATGTTCTCCTTGACGAAGCTCTGAAGCACGTTAAGGAGACGCAGCCTCCAGAAACCGTGCAGAACTGGATTGAATTACTCAGCGGTAAGCGGCTGTGTGTGGGCTACAAGCTGAACTCTGTTGCAGAGATGATGTAAAAGTTTAAAATTCTTAAGAAAGGAACCTTTACACAGTAGCCAGAAAGCCTGTTGAGTTATTTAGACACTTAAAGGTAGTGTCAGTGACTGAGTGAGAAAAATAATGGCTTTTAAAATAAAATTTCCCTCTGAGCAGGTACTAAATGAGGGGTCACATGCTCCCCAGAGCCCCTTCATCAGAATTGCTCACTGCTCCTTACTCTGCACGGGCCACGCTGTGGTGAGGACCCCACGGCCTCCGTGGTTTGAGCAGGGTTCACTCCACACACAGGCTGGCAGCCACAGGCCGCTTCATTCTCAGCACCTGGGAAGGGAAATGCCTGGGAACTTGAGTAGTTGGAGGAGGAAATGGCGTAAGCCTTTGAAGGGTAAGAATGAAACACACAGAAGGAAGGGTAATTGTTCAGAAGGGAATGTAGGACCAGGTAAAACTGGCGAACCTGTCTTCACAGCCTCATCTGTGCTTCTGCTTGGTTTTCAAGCAGTGTCAATCACTGGTGTAGAACGAGGAACAGCATTGCTAATGGTACAGGCTTTGAAGTTCTGCTTAGAAGCGACATGTGGTCATATCTCTGGCCAGAGCAAGTCCTCTGGGCTCCCCTGACTTTAAGAAGAGAAAGTGCTGCTGATGGACAGTACCAATGATGGTACTTGCGTGTGTGTATAAGCTCCTGAAGGGTGGGACCAACACTGTGTTGTTCTTCTGCACTGTCATGTAATCTGTAGCTTTTGTAAGTATTTATTGTAATTTCTTCTGGTGTTGAACATTACTATTTAAATTGTTTAAAAATAATTGGATGCCAGAATTTGGTAAGTAAGGTGGCATTTTTCTCATTGATAAACAGTTTCTAAACTAAACTAAGTCCTATTATGAGGACATTCTCCTGTTGGTGAAATTTTTTTTATGATTATTTAAAAATTAAATCCATTTACTCCACTGTTAGCAAATAGGACCATAACAGGCACTTTACGCCTATGTAAGCATCACCCTTCCTTTTTGTTGGTAGAGAGCATAAACTTATTCACAAGATTATCTTTATAATTTTGAATTTTTTTGACCATCCTCTGACAGATTGCTGATACCATTTTTCTGTTTATGCCAGTGTGTAAGAGAAACTTTGACCTCTTACTACACCCATACCCACGCTTGTTTTATTGGTATTGTTTTCCATTGCAAGTTTTCTCTTGCAGGAATATTTTAAGAATAATTTGTCCATTTGATGGGGATTTTTTTTTTTTTGGCTAAAATAGAGAATATAATCCACAGATCCAGAGCACAGATGAATCTGTGGCAGTGCACAAGCGCTCCTGGATTAGCTCTCCTTACTGCTATTACAACAGGGACCCAGTGTTAACGCTGCTTTTGAAGTACATCTGTTTCAGATAAAAATAGAAGTGCTAATAACTTCTAACTATCTTGATGGATCATTTTATAACTTCTCTAGAGATCCCTGACCTACACAGTCTTTGGGCCATTCTTGTGCTGAGCTGCCTGTATTGGCCAGTTTCTGATCTGGTAGTTCAAATTAAACTTTGTGGTTAGAGGGGCCGCTGTTGTGGCATAATGGGTAAAGCTGCCGCCTACAATACGAGCGTCCCATATGGGTGCCAGTTCATGTCTTGGCTGCTCTACTTCTGATCCTTGCTAGAGGCCTGGGAATAGCAGCACATGGCTCAAGTGCTTGGGCCCCTGTTACCCATGTGGGAGACCTCAAAGAAGCCTCTTGCTCCTGGCTTTGGCCTGTCCCAGCCTTGGATATTGTGGCCATTTAGGGAGTGAACCAGTGAATGGACGATCTCTCCCTCTCTTCTTCCCTGTAACTCTGACTTTGAAATAAATCATAAAAAAAAGAAATTGTGATTAGAGTCCCAACTGGCCAAAACCAAAAAAGACTTTCTCAAAGTTAATTATTTTTTTTGGCAGAAAAATTACAGTGCTACAGAAGCTTCACTGGAATCTAATGGGTTTTGCCTTAACTTTGTTGTTGGTACTGATTTCAGCTGATACTGATTTCGGCATTTGCAGATGCTCTACTCATAAAGATCTCTATCTTATATCACATGTTCTAATGGCACATGAGCTTTGGCTCAACTGCATACCTTACACCATGAAATTTCCTCTGATAGTTTTTATACCTTAAATTAGTATAGCACACACAGGTTCAGTTTCAACATTTAATATACATTCAGCAAAGTAATATTTGATGGATGAGCATAAATGCTGAACTTGGTTCTCAGCTTGGGCTGCTGTTGCAATATTGTCACCTGATTGAGCATTGAAGAGGTGAGATATTTAGATTTTTCTCAAAAGTCTTTAAATGCAGTTCGGATTCTGTAAAACAGTGTCCATTTGGATTAGGAATTTGAGTAAGACGTGAGGCTAACAGCATGTTCTTTTTAAACAATGTGCTGTGAGTTTTTGGTTAGCTGCAAATGCTCGAGCGTTGCCTGTAGCAGTTCAGTCCTTGCTCCCACGATACCTCAGCATAGAGAAAGGGAATCCAGAAAGGGAGGAGAAGTGAAGCAGGTTTCCTCTTTAAATTATGAAAATCTCTGCTTCCTATCTAGTGAAAGTACCAAGATAGCTGTTTGCTGATTAAATTTTTTGTGGAGAGATACCTAAAAAAATTCAGTAGTTCAGAGAAAAGGGAAATGCTTAGGAACTTCTGTAGCTGGAGGAGGAAATGGACCTTGGCGTAAGCCCTTGAAGGGTAAGAATGAAACACACAGAAGGGAAGTGTAATTGTTCAGAGGGAATGCAGGACCTGGTAAAACTGGCGAACCTGTCCTCACAGCTACATCTGTGCTTCTGCTTGGTTTTCAAAACTGTGTACTGTATTGTATTGTTGAGGGAAATGTGCACAGGTTATTGTATGGTGGTTACCTCCGAGGTAGACAGCACATAGTAGGCCCATCTCTGATACAGAAATAAAGATGCTAGTAAAACAATCTATGGATTAGCTTAAAAATTAATATATCAGTTAAAGACTTTAAAGACTACTGTGTTTAAGTGTAAATTGTTTCTGACTCTGAAATTGTAAGATGTGAGCTTGATCACTTTGGTCACAAGGTGTCACTAGACTGCCAACTGTAAGAACAAAGCTGCTTTCAGGGAACTTCTGTGCAGTGGGATCGCTTAGCTCCCTGTCAGTGTGTCCTTCTTATCTGAATCGATTGCTAGGCGGTGGACATCAATAACGTTGGAGGAACTTTTTCCTTGTTGTATGTCTTTTTATACTTTACTTTACAAAAGCTATAGAACTGTACATTTTAACTTTGCTTGCTAATTAAGTCCCATTATATATGAAGGGTCTTCAAAAAGTTCTTGAAAAGTGCATATTATGAAAAAAATCATGCATGTGTTTCCAAAACCTTTTACACTGAAGTAAAGGTGCCCTTTAATTCTATAAAGTGCCATCATGTGCAGTGAATGATAAGATGGAATCATAGTAACATCTTTTCAAGTACTGTTCATTCAGTCAGTCATTTATTACAAAGTAATTAAAATATGTTCAATGTTATAAAAGCAGCTAAGTCTTGGTAGCTAGCATAGAGAAACCTTTCTTTGTATCTTCTCCCCAATAAGCCATCTTCACCCTCCTATCCCTGCTTGTACTGGTGACTTAGTTATTTTAATTCAGGAGAATTCTATTCTTTGGACTTAGCTTAATTCAGTTATTATCTAATTATTGATTATTTAAGTATTAAATAATAAAATTTTATTAGATCTTTATTAAACATAAAATTGATTCAGTTATTTACTTTAATTCTTATTTGATTTGATTATTTTAAACAAAAGGCAGACTTCAGAGTACTTGATTTTATGCACCACAGACAATGTTTCCTGCACTGCTTCAGCCTTCTGCGGTGAGACTTCCTCATTTTTTGAATGTCTGAGGAGACCTGAATAAATCCCTTTTTGCTGGAGCGAGCACCTAAGGTTTGCCCTGCTCTAGAGGTGTTGCTCCAGAAGATGATGCTGGCTGGTACCCTTGTAGTACTTCCTCTGAGGCAGAAATGGTTGCCCATAAGAAGGTGCAGTCCTTAATGGAACTTTGACCTTTTTGTAAGGTGGGTCTGTGTAGAGGCTCTTGTCATTTTTAGTAGCAATAGTAAACTGTAAGTTAGCCTACTTTGGAGTTCACAAAATCTTTCCAGCAACTGTGTAAGCATTACACATTCTCATGGTTGCAATATATAAGATTTAACTAAGGATAGAGTGAGAATAAATCTTAGCATGACTTCAGTATCATAGATAGTAGTCTTACACTGTTAGACCCACTCATTTCCTCCAAGAAAGAAAAAATCATAGTATAGCAGCATTAGAAGGACTTTTGTTTATAGAACCTGCAAAGAGAAATTTTACTTTATGTCTCAGAATAATCTTTTTATTGCTCCCTTCCCCTCAATCGATTGGTAATAAGTGACCAAAATATTCTCTAGGGTATGGAATCTCTTCCTGTTTGCCTTAGAACCATAAAGATGGATGGCTTGGGAGTTATTCATTCTGTTTTGGTGTTGTGACAGTGTAAACATACCTAGGCAGTACTGTGCAATTAGCTAGAGTTGTCAGTTATGGTACTTCTTGGATGAATTGTAAATTATATGCATTGCTAATTCATCTTAGAATTGACTTTTTGGATCTGAGATAAATTTGGCTGATATATATTAGTTTAAGTTTCCAAAAGTCAGTTAATACTGTCTAATTCTAACATAATACTTTGCCTACCACCTATCATTGAAATTTGAAAACAAAAATAAAACTCACATTGTCTAGTAAAAGAAGGAGCAGGCATTTATTGGGGAGAGTGTGGATTGGCACAACAATAAAACATGGAAGTCAGATAGCTATGGAGGAAGATGGGTTCCTCCACCCCAGGGCTGCTTATAGTCTGTGCAGAATCGCCACGTGCACTGTGTTGTTTGCTTCTGCCTGGAATGCTGTTG